AAAGGGAAGAGAAAGGAAAGGTAGAGAAGGGAAAGGAGGACAAAATTCTACCTACAGTAAGAGCTGCATAATTTTAATGTTTGAGCCAAAAGGCAAGGCAGGAAAAAATTTTTGTACCTTTATGTTCATTCATTCACTCAGAGATTTGACAACCATTTGTGCGCACTCCTATGTTCCAGGCCCTTTACTCAGAACTGGGGGGACAAAGAACACTCGTCAGGCCCACGCTGTTGCCTGGCGGGAGACAGACAAGTAAATAATCACATAAGGACCACAAGAGGCGCTCGCTGTGCACTCGCCTGACCAGTGGGCTGAGGGAAGCCACCAGCTCTGAGCGACCTTCAGGCATAAAGGATGAACGAGTTCTCCTAAAGGGAGGGTCATTCCAGGAAGTAGGAACAGGGTCTGCAAAGGGAGAGAGCGTGAAAGGACCGGTGCATTTGGGGAATGGAAAAAATTTACGGGGAATGGAAAGAATTTACGGGCAAACGAAAGTGAAATTAAGAAGGTGGGTGTGCAATGAAATGATAAGATTTCCTAAGGCTCATTTGTGCAGCACCCACAGGCAGGTAAGCAATATTGAAGACGACTACCTAAAGTATTCTGGAGAGGACAGCAGGGATAAAGACAGGACAAAGACGGGGGAGTAGGAAAGAATATCAAAGAGGCTCAGGGAGACCACAGAGGCAAAGGGAAGGAAGAACACATGAGGCCCAACACCTCACGAAATGCACCTTCAGGCACATCAATGGTGTCAGAAAGCACTGACGTTCAGAATTTACTAAAAAGCAATAAAAACAATCATGCTTTAACTGTCAGGTAATCTATAGTTGACAAACTTATTTATAAGCCCAGTCTGTAACTCGGATATATTTTTGCCAAGATAAAAAAGAAAATACTATAATGGCTGAGTGGCCAGAATCCCAGTTCAGCTCACCAAAGACTGTTCATGACATGCCTCTAACATATCTGAGCTCACACATTAATGGGCTACAGGGTTTAACCATCACTTTAAAAAGTATTTCTTTGGGGAAGATTTATCCGTGCCTCTTTCCCACAGCTCTGCAGTCCCTAGCCATACGAAGCTGTGTATCCCTCTGGCCCTGGACTGGTTCCCTTCCTTGCAAACAGCTCCTCACAGCTCCGACTGTGAGACGGAGGACTGCAAGGTATGATCAGCCACACTGGGGAGGGGTGAAAAACAGGGATTCTGGTGGCTCCCACAGGATGGGAGAGACAGATGTCGAATTCACTCCCCTGCCCAAAGCCAAGATTTCAGAGGGAATTTATTTAATCTCCCTTGCCTCAATTTCCCCTTCTACTGAATTTGGAAGTGGGACCTCCAAGCCTTACAGTCCTAACATTCTGTCCAGTAGTGTAATTGTTCAGAGGGAGGCTTCTTTTCCGTCTCTATTCTATAATTTTTGGTTCCTCTATTACACTCTAAATCTCTCTTTAAATTCACAGTGCCTTGAATCTTCTAGTTTCTACCTTTTGGATTCTAATGCACTGGCTCTGTTGTCTCCCTCCACAGGATTTGTTTAAAGTCGTCCATAGGCCAAGTGCTATGTTAAAAATGATACAAGCCTTATCACAAAGCATATACAAATGAGGAAATCAAGGTTCAGCATATTAAGCAATTTATCAAAGGTGTGGAACTTAAAGCTGGCTCTTCCCAGCTGTTCCTGATCATTACAGGCTACACTACCTTTTTCTCCTCTGACTGCATCTAGTTTGAGTTCTGTCTTCTTAGGGCTCTGTGTGTGCTAGCTTATCTCATAAATTACTTTGTATTAATAACTTTATGTGCTACACCTGCCAGGTGACATATGTCCGTATTAACCAGGACCCATCATCTCTGAACCAACAGGGAACTCGTGATGGGAATCTCAGGCCCTGCAGCTGGTAGGTCAGGGTGAGATTCCAGACAGGCGGGGCTTTAATACATCTTTCAAATAACAGCACACGGTCAAACAGCTACTCAACTTCCATATGAAGCTGCCGGAAGCTACCACATTTTAGTTCAAGCCTAAAACCTACAAGCTTCCCAGCTGCTATAAGCCCACTCATAATATCACAGACAGGTCAAGGAAAAGGGCTCACACTATAGGACAAGACAACCCTAGATTTACTGGTCCAGTGCACTTTGGTGGATTTTTTAGCCTCTCTGAGCTATCTACCTGCTAAATGATCTTGGGTAAGGTAACCCAACTGAGCTTCAGGTTCCTCATTATAAAATTGGGATAACATTAGCAACCTTAGAGGGATGTTGCAGGGATAGAGGAGTGCCTGACATGTTGGGAGAGTGAAGGAGCTTAGGGGATGGATGGTAAGGTTGCTTCTAATAATTAGAGTAGTCTAGACTAGAGTAGAAAGACAGAAATCAGCTGGAGGTTCATTGGACTCAGTACCTGCAGAATCTGAGGACTCATGATGGTTGAGAGTTGGATACCCTAGTATGGCATAAGCCCTAGATTGATCCTATCCTTGATTCCACGCTACTAGGCCTCTTGGCAGCTGTTGCTGGAAGTACATTTTTCAGGTAAGAGATTCCCAACTGAGCCAATGGGTAGAGTGTAGTCACACACCATCTTTCACCTCAGAGCACCACGAGGTTGCTGGGGTAACTGAACTATTCTGGGCCTTCCCTAAGGGATCCGAACTCCTCTATCCATGTCCCAGCGGGCTCCCTTCCTTTGGCCTTACATTCTGCACCCCCAGCAAGACCTCTTCCTCCTGCCTCAGATCAGAGAGGAAATGGGAAGGGAAGGAACTGGCCAGGCACCTGGACCTCGGCATCTTATTTCCCTATCATTTTATTTTCTTAGTTACGGCACATTTCCATTTATGAAGTACTTTCCCTTATAAAATCTCTCAATGTTTACTTGTAACCTACTAAATAATTCCTCTGACCTCTTCTTGTTTTTACCCTTTAAATATCTGTTGATGGTCCATTCACCACATTCCCCATTCAGTTATTAATGGCCCACAAAAACTTACTAGCAGCAATCATTTACTGATTAATCTGCACAACAATCCAGAAAGACAGGTAGTATTAATCCTTAGTTCTGCACGGGGAAACCAAGGGGAAAAGAGAGGTTAACTCAGTTGCCCAAGGTCAGTGGCTAAACAAGATTACAACCAGGATCTATCTAATCTTGTATTTCTGTGAACACTTCCCATAGTGTTATTCCTTCTTTACAAATCAGCGTTGTCAATGCAGCTAGATCATTTCCATGTTGAGATTCAGTTGTCACAGAACAGCTTAAAACTGTCAAAATTCAACCCAAAATACTTTTGCCTGTGAATAGCTCATAAATAAAAGTGGCTCAAATGAAGAGATAATAGTACTTGAAAGCAAATTTTACAGAGGCAAAAGAGAAATAAAAAGATGTGGATTACGGACCCAGTTTCTGCCACAAGGAGACTGAGAAAGTCACTGAACTTCTCTGCACCTCATATAAATGAGATTATGCTGAATGATATTCAAGGTATCTTGCTTTTTAAATGAGATGCCTGAATACCTACAAAATCAGCACAAAATAGAAAGCTCCAATATCCAACTCGGCCAAGACCGTGGTAAAACTGGTCTACTCATTCACTGTTAATGAAGTACACAGCTAGATGCCAACACACAGCAAGAACCACAAAGGATTTCATATCCTTGACTTAGTAATTTAACCTATACCGTGTTTTACCCTAAGAAACAAGTCAATGGAAGCAAAAAGACATATACAAACAAAAGTGTACATTTCAGTGCTAGCTATCAGAAGAAAAACTGTTATCGATTTAAATGTTCATTTTAAAGGATGTTTTATTAAATAAAAGCATAGAACAATACACACACCATGTTGCTATTAAAAAGTATAAATATGAAAATTAGGCAAAATCATTTAAAACCTTACAGATACTGTTAAATTAAAATAACAAAAAGTAAAAGAACAGATATGTACTCTGATGTCAGCTATATAAAAATGCGGATTGATGTGCAAGAGCACAGGAAAACTCAAAATAGTTAGGTTATTAAGTATGCTTATTAATTTTTTTAATCCTTTAACTGTTTTAATCAATATTGTTTTTCATTAACACATACATTTGATCAATTCTTAAACAATTTCTCAAACCCTGCTTTAAAGTTTCTGCCTAATTTTTGCTGGTTGACATATTGTTTGTGACTGATTTTCCAGAGTGATTTTTGCTCTCTCCTATATAATTCTTTAGTGTCTTTGGAGAGTCTAAAAATCTCAGAACCCTTGCAATTCTTTCTGTCACCTAAAAGAATTCTTTTAAAAATCTGTCATCTAAGCTAGCTATGAATAACCCCATGATTGCCTTGTAATGTTAATGTTTGGCAATGCCTGACCCAGGAGTCAAGAAGCTTCCAATAACCCTGACCTGTGGGGGCCTCTACAGGAACCATCACACTTTTCACAGTGCATAGAGTGGTTTCACATTCCAAGGTTTTAGAGTTTTACAGCAGGACATTTTATATCTTCAGGGACTTTAGAGAACCTTCTGGTTCTCTCTGGAAGGAAAGCTGCTCTCAAGCGCCACTGTGCTAGGACCTTCCCTTCATGGGACTTCTCCACGCTCCTTCACTCCTTAGAAATGTTCTCCTGCTAGTAGGTCATTTGAACATCTTTGCTCATAATATCTGGGAAAGATTGCAGAGCCAATGAATTAAAAATATGATTCTAGGTCTCCTGTGTGCCAATGAATGCCCTCATTAAAACAGAATGAGCAGATGAGATCGGTTTCAAAGCTTTCCATCCCTTTGCCCCAGAGCCGCTGAGGCCAGGCTCTGAAAGGATGCACAGTAAAATTAAATATCTAAAAATTCATCTTTAATTAACAGAATTGGATTAAAGCTAGACACCACGGCATATCATACGAGAAATGGCTGAGCTGGCTTCCAAGTGCTCTAATTCAATTAGGACGCGGTGAGTGACACTCGGACGGGAAAGGTTAATTGGGGGCGCCAGAACGCAATCATTCCTTACCTAACCAGTCATTAAACTTCTTAACCTCTGAGGGCAGTCCCAGCTCGGTGAAATCGCCTGTGTGGAGAAGGATGTCCCCATAAGGCATCTGGATACCATCTGTTCTGGAGTGTGTGTCTGAGATGCAGACAAACCGCGTGTGGCCCGCTGGTTTTGGAGTGTCATATGGGATGGGGTCGACCCTAAAGTAGACATAACAGATCCCATAACAGTTAAATATATTAGAACCCTCGTAATTGTCATCGCACATACATATCGATCGCTATGCTTGAACGCGCCCAGACAAACCGATGCAAAAGCAGAAGGGGCCCTTGTAACGAGGGACGCTTTGGGGCACCAAGTGACAGCGTCACCCACCTGGGCAAACTCAAAAAGTCTTACTTACCTGGTACGAAAATTAAAAAGGATAGCTTACACGCAGAGACGGAAATAATGCAGGAAACAGAGAGTGATTAAGGCTGAAGTTTAGGGATATTGAACCCCAACTGGGGAAGCAAAATTATGTTATTTTGTCTCTCATCATGCTCCAATTGATCCCACTACTCATTAGGAAATGAATAACTAATTTATTCCCTCTTAAACATGCACAAGTCAAGCAATGAGCTAATTTACAAAGAGCACGGCACGTGCTCTGCCAGCTGAGATGTGGAGAGACATATTAGATTGTACCAATACTTAGTATTCTTCCCAGAGCCATTTAACACCTGTATCTTCCTGTCTCTGCTAAGAGATTCTCAAACCAAATTGTGGGGAGGGAAGGTGACGTCAAAATAACAGAGCTTTAAAAAAAAACATTGGACGTTAAAATACTTTGTCAAGCTCCTTCTTTACCACAATGAATTATCTGCAGTCCCAGTCACACCTGAGGTTACTTGGAATGCCCTGGGCAAAATCCTATTCAGTACAAACAGTAAGCCTTTTAATGAGTGTCTATAGATGCACATATGCATTAATATATGTATAGTTTTAGAGACCTAAGCACTGTGAAATTACACTAGGGCATAAGAATCAAAAGGCAAAGGGATCAACCCGAAGCAAAGAAAATGAAACAGAACATTCTCATTTAATTGAGTGTAACAAAGTGTGCCAAATAAACTTGGTAAAGAAATGCAAATCTGACTCTTCAAGCGTACAGTTTTAATTATTTAAGGGGTTGGTAGCAGAGTCAAGGATGCTTTAACTATATTAACTCTATGCTGACAGCTTCCTTTAATTTCTCTGTACGAACGGGCACTTGTTTTGGATCACGGGTGAAGAGAAGCAGTTACAACTGCAAAGAGAAGGTCAGGAGAGAAGCAAACATGCAGTGCAGAGATTACCGTGTGAAACTAAGTAAGAAGCAATATTTCATATCACAGCCCCGCCCGACAGTTAACATGCAGCAGAGAACACACACAAAGCACAACGTTAAGATTCCCTATGCATCTTGCCTCTACAGGCTTGGTTTAATTTTTCTTTCCTTTTCCCACTTTTTAAAAAGAAACAATTAGTTTTAACAGTGCAATTGTAGTGAGGGGAATAAAGACATCCATATGCAACCTGGTTGGTCTTGCATGTCCTTCATAGCTAACCTTTTAATTTAATTTTATCTTTGACAAAGAAGAAGGAAAATAGGAAAGAAAAGAGCTTGAAGAAGACGGAAAGGAGGAAGGAGAGAGGGAGGGACTGTGAACTGGTTAACACAGTGGATCTAACTGGAAACCCAAAAGGAGAGTTTGCCTTCTGCAAACAACTAATAATTTTCCCTGTAAAGGTTGGAAATTACTAATGCTGTTACCATGGAGAAAACTCACTAATCCACTGAGATCTCATGAGTAACCTGGAAACCCTCCTGATTATATCCAGTGTTGATTTTTTTTTAAACATGTGAAAAAGTTTGGTATCTTCTTTTCCATTACGGTGACTCTATTCCAATCAGTCTCAGTGGTTCTAATCTTATCACTATCTCCTGTCTTCTAAAAGTGGTTTACTCAGAGAAGGAATGATTGGATTGTTCCCTGCTGGGGCAGACTACGTCACCCTCTGAAAGAAAGCGATAGTATTCTATTCCTAGGCCTAAAGTTAAGATGCTCACTAGAATGGGATTATGCACATTTATACTTCATCCACCCACATCTGAATGGATATTAAATAAACTAACCACTGGACTTTAAACATATGAATAAATTCAATATTACATATGCCTTTATTTTCCACTTTTCATCCTAGTAATAATAAGCCCCATTTCTTCCTTTCAGTAACTCAGCTAAGCTACAGGCACAAGCACTGCATTGAAATCCTTTACTAGCCCAACCAGATTCATCAAAGGGACATCATAGTCATCACTTTGAATTTATTAAACAGAAAATAGCACAGATATAAACCCTTCACTGTGAATAGGCCCGGTTCTATGAATCTACTCAATTTAAAGAAGCCAATCGTCATACAGTATGTAATTTGTTTCCCATCTTAGCTCTATATAGGGCAATAACTTTCCAAGACTATTGGAACACCAGTCAATTTTTAAATGGCTGTAACTTCCTTCCCCACCCTACCACCTCTTCCAAAGAAACTATTAAATGTCGAACAGAATGAACACGATATAAAGGCCAAGGAATGGAAAAACAAGAGACAGAAAATAGGGAGAAAATGTGTCTTCTTATCGATGAGCGGAAATAAAATAAGGAGTCAGAAATACACAAAACAATGGCAGAGACAGACGGTCCACCCATCACCACCGCCAACTTGACGTGCAGGCATTTGGGAGAGATACTGAGGATTAGTTTAAGGTAGAGGATCTGGGAAGGGAGAGGCATAAAAACCCAAATGCAGAATTTATACACATCCCCTGACCCAGAAACACCAACATCCTTTGTTACCCACAGTACTAAGTACGGAGAAGACAAGACAGCGCAGCATGTCAGAGCCCCGCTGCAGGATGACATGACAAATGTCACCTGGGGGTCATAGGAAGACATTTCCACCCAAAGACAGTCAGAGCCAAAAATAAGACATCTAGTAGAGTAGGCAAGTCACAGTGAATATAATTAAAGTTGAGACAACCCTAGGGAAGCTACTATTTCCAAATTGGGCATTTGGTAAACACTTTGAAAAGTCAAGACAGACTAACGTTTTCACTCTAAAAGCATGTGGAAGGGTAGCCTGACTGCCATGGCAACATCTACCTGTTCACGCCGGGTGAAGACCCCCCCGCTCCACGTTCCCCTTAGTTAACAACCTTCCTGCTTACTGTTTATGCTGCAGACTTCTCGGATGACCTGCCGTTTCCCCCAAGGCATCATGTCAAACATCCCAGCAAGTGAGTCTCTTACCAAGGCCATCTAACCCCTAGAGCCAGATTCAAATATCAGAATGAGATTTGCACGTACATCTGAGCACACCCAGGGGAAAACAAGATGACATGGGAAGATGAGAAGGAAACACGGCATCGTAAAACCCCGGAGCTGGACAAAACCTGAGGGGGCACTGGGTTCAGTGCTCTATACAAAGCTGAATCCCCTCCCCCGCCCTGCCTAACTGACATCAATTTTCTCTCCTAGGTTTCCAGAGAAGGGGAGCTCCTGCACCCCTTCCCCTCCCCCAGGGCAGCCCATTCTGGTTTTCGATAGCTCTCCTTGCTAGAAACTTTTGGATCCAGAGTCTGCACCTCTGAGAAAGCTGAACACGGTCCAAAGGGACCTGGCCCAGAGCCTGAAGGCTGAGTAACAACTTTGGCTGAGTTATTCGCTTTGGACAAGTTATTTCATTCTTTCGGTCTTCATTTTTTTCTCATTTGTAGGATGGGAATAATAATGCCTAATCCGCTAAGTTGCTGTGAGGATATAAATTGCCGAGCCCTGGGTCTGGCACGCAGCACGTGCTCAGAAAGCAGAGGGGCAGAGTGACGTGAGGGTAAAGCACGTTCAGCTACACAGCCAGGCTGTCTGGCTCCGACTCCCCCTCCACGGTTACTGACAGTGTGACACCAAGCAAGGTGCTTAACGCCCCTGCCTTGGTTTCCTCATCAACAAAATGGGTACAAAAATAGTACCTATCTCATAAGACTGCTCTGAGGATGACAGGGAATAAAGTATTCAAAGCGTGCAGAACAGTGTCTGACACACAGCAGATAGTAAATGTTAAGGATTTTTTCACTAATTAGTATTTTTTGCTACTATTACTGGTAATATCCTTTAGTTTCTCCGAGCTCCATCTCTCCTATTACAAGGAGATAACAACCACCACACACACAGGGTCTTTGTGAAGATTAAAGATCACATACACACCACCTAGCACAGTACTGGGTACATAAAACACAGTCAGTAAACAATTTATTTCCTTCTGTCACTTCCCTCTTAACCCTAGTTCTGAAATAACAGAATAAGAATTCAGTCCCTTTCCATTTGATAGTCCTTCAAATATTTGAGGACACGTACAATAATCCCCTGGAAGCTTCTCTACTCAAGTTGAGAAGCCTCAGTTTCTTCAGCTTGTCCTTGGTGTCACTGGATCTTACGTGGCCTCAGAATCCTGGTGATCTCCCAGGTACAAGCCAATTGGTCGGAGCCCCAATGTGGCCAATTGGTCAGAATTCACAGGCCACATGAATTCGTGGACCAGTGAGCTGTTTATCAAAGACAAATCTAGTACCGGCGACAGAGAGCCAACAGTGCTGGACACATGGGTGGACTTTCCTAGAGGCCTGAGCTGTTATCTCAAGCCATTTTCTCATTAAATCTCCAGGTTTTGTGCCAAGCCTCAAATCTTGCTCTTGAAACTCGATTGTCAAATGTTTACATACCTCACTGCATATTCAAACAAATAAACCATTCTCATTTATTCAGTCTTGGCACATTAGAGTTTTTTACCCATAAAAAAACAGTAAGATAATATTATTGCTTCCACTATGGAATCTTCTCCTGGCCATATGTGTTATTTTTTCCAATAACAAATTCATACAGCGTTGCAAGTTCCATTGCTAGATCTTCAGAAAAGCTATTATCATGTGGTTTGTTACAACATGGGTTTCTTTTCTTAGGCCATGTGAGCAGTAAAAGCCTTGTGTGCACAATTAGCCTAATAATTCAGTGTCAGAACAGACTATAACCCTTACAAAGCATTTTAAAGGGACCTGAAGGTATTCACCATCCCCCTTCCACTTGAAAATCTTGATGTTGCGCTTCTGCATTCCACTGGCTTTATC